AGATGTATGCAAGTGCGCACAATAAAACGATTCGATAATGGATATCAGCCAAAATTGTCTGGCTGTTAATGTTTTATAGGTTCTGTCGACGAACTGTCGACCGGTCACGCTCTTTCACTTGCGCACCCTTGCCAATTTTTTAGTGGATCAACTTTTTCTGGGGAAGTTTAGTAATTCAGAATGCATTTTTTTAAATATTTATTCAATAAAGAAAATATGCTCTAGGAAGCCAATCTGACTAAACTATCGACCGACAAAATATCGTCTGTATCCCTTTATGCGTGAATGCTTATGGTCCATATGCAATCAGCATAAAACTTTAACGATATATATATATATATATATATATATATATATATATATATATATATATATATATTATTTTATAAATAGAAAATACTTTATACATATAAATAAATTTATAAATTTATCTTACATATCTGATTACAAAATATGTTACATCATATTTTTTTTATAAATGACCTGAATGAAATAACTGCAGCCCTATCTGAGAGATATGTATTTTGTAATAATTACAAGGTTGAAACACTGCACGAATTATTACAAATCAATTATAAATAATCATAATGTGTGCAATACCTCACTGCGATTATTTAACCAACATTCAAGGCTGAAGAGCAGGGATTTAAGGTCTTTAGTATGTTAAACAAAGTCAAACGAATTCGTTGAATATGTACTTATTGTTTATTTTCTGAATTTCTATTTATATGATTATTGCCTATATCTTATAATCTTAAATAATCAATTCATGTAAATACATATATTTATTTTGTGTATCTTGGAAACGGCTCTAACGATTTGGACCATATTTTGTATTGAAATAAGTTTTTGCTTTTTAAGTTTATCTATATTGCAAGGTGTCTTTTTGAAAAAAAAGGCATTTATCAAAAAAATAAATATTTAAATAATTTTATTAGAAGCCTGTTTCTATTTTCTCAGTCTCTCATGCTGACAATGTCCTACAGCGTCATCTCGTAAATTTTTATGGTACTTGTATTGTCGCGAATGGATGATAACCTACTGAACGAGCGCCTACGCCAAGCGAAGCTCGTTCGCCCAGGTAAATCCTTTTATCTAGAATAGTATATGATTATCTGTAGTATATATAGTAATTTATAGGTATATATAGTAATATATAGTACTACTGTGTAGTACTATATATACTATATAGAATAGTATATGTCATATCATAGTATAGATAGTATAAATAGTAATTTATCTGTAAAAATTGTAATTTGTACACCATAAGCAATGGCGTAACTAGCCTTTTTGGCCCCAATGCAAAAAAAATGAAGTGCCCCCCTTAAAACTAGCGTGAACCCGGCGGCTGCTGCACTCTTATTAAATACGACAGAGACAGTTTCCGAACTTCTCACTTTTTCAAACCGCGCTCACCTAAGAACGGGTAGAGTAAAATTTATTAATAAACCTGAGCTTAGAGGGCCATTCCCGTTTTATAGAACACTAGCATTGCCCGCGGCTCCGGCCGCGTTCAGATGACCAAAAACCAAATTCTTAGGTTTTACATATTAGTATACTCTTACAATGCAATTTTTGTATTTTTTCTCAGAAATGAGATATTTTCCCGCGGTAAAAAGTATCCTATATGTTGACCCGGATAACCAGCTATCATCATACCAAATTTCATCAAAATCTGTCCCGTGGTTTTCTCATGATGCGGCAACAGACAGAAAGACAGACAAAAATTATAAAAACTATATATTCGGGCTCTGTATCGATAATAATGTCTATTTCAATTAGATTTTCCAAAAAATATTTAATGTATAGATTCGACTTAGAATTTTTTTATATGTATAGATATGTACATAGGTACAATCACATTCCTCGCGGTCCTCGTAAAAAACAATATGCGGCAATTACAACTACACACTTCTTTCTTGCGTTTTTTTTAAACGTCTATGAAGGCCGTCATCGAAAAATGTTGTTCCTCTTGAATAAGGGGCCCTATGCGACCGCATTGGTTGCATTGGCATAGCGACGCCACTAACCATAAGTAGGTATAGGTACTATGCTTATTTTTTTTTTATGGGACTAGGGGGGCAAACGGGCAGAAGGCTCACTTGATGGAAAGTGATCACCGCCGCCCATGGACATCTGCAACACCGCAAGGCTTGCAGATGTTTGCTACAGATGTTCAGATCATCTTGAAGACCGTATTTATAAATAAAAAAAAACCGGACAAATGTGAGTCGGACTCGCACCCCGAGGGTTCCGTACAAATTTGTAGGAAATTTGTTTAACTTTAATTTTCAAGTTTAAATTTTTTGGAGTTTTGCCTTTATTTGTGCTGTTGCTGTGTGCTGCTTGTGATTCTAGGTCAACAGAAACTACAATAATATAGGTTTTCGACCCAAAACTTATAGGGTACTTCCGATTGACCTAGAATTGTTAATTTTGGTTAAAAGCAAGGTCTTACATCACAAGTAAAGAGAAAATTTTGAAAAATAAAAAAAAATTGAAAATTAAGGTAAATTTTGATAGGTACTTACAAGTTTTCGCGAAAATTTAAATTTTCCCATATCTTTTTATCATGTTGACTCAGAACCTTGATTTTTATACACCTAATAGGGACCTCAGTATCTGGTATAAATTTCAACTTGCTAGGTCCACCCGTTCCTGAGAAAATTGGAGGTGAAACACGGAAGGACAGACGGACGGATAGACGGACTAGAGAGTGATCTTATAAGGGTTCCTCTTTTACCTTTTGAGGTACGGAACCCTAAAAACGTGTAAACGCACCTAAAAAGTTATACTTCCTTAGCGTTACAAAACAAAAATAGCTAAAGATTTCATCCCGAATGTCACAACACTTTGTTTGTAAAAGAAATGCAGCTAATTTCATCATATCGATTTTTAGCTATCTGTCGCATCGTAAAAATTTTACTCTCATAATCTTTTCCAAACCTGCCAAAAGAAGTATAACTTCAAAAGTATATAGAGGCGTCGTTGAGATTTTAATGAAATAGGAAGAGATGCATGCTGATACAATACTGAGGCAATTTGAAGAATATAAACAATCAATACTGGTCTCGTGCCGTCACGAGCATGCACAACTATTCCTCGTAACCAACGACTACGCACCACGCATACAAAACAGCTGTTAAGAGTGCGTCCGTTCGACCGTCACTCTCATTGTATGATCAATTCAGACAATCGATGTAACGTTGACAATCATAAGTAATTTCGTTAAAAATATCTATGACATCGATGGTCATTCTATCATGGAAAATGTTAATTTTGTTTTGTCTGTAGCGCACATTAATTTATCCATTAACAATTAATATAATTATATTATTCTTAACTAGCATTTATACATACGTCATTTTCGCCCAAATTCTCTACCCGTTAGTTGAAAGTTTTTCAATCGTATCCTTTTATCCTGCATCTACTTTGCAAGAGCACTTTACTATTATTTGATTGAATAGGTAGCTGAAGGCAATTCTGCTCATAATTTTTATTCGCTAGTGAAAGTTACAGTAAAATCGGTGTAACCATTTCATTGTAGTTAAAATAATTTCCGTCAAACCGACTTAATTGCTCTAATGGATATATATATTAAACTTGCTTTCTTTTTCCACATTCGCTACTATTACTTAGGTACACTTCAGATAAAAAAATAAAAACTACGGACTAAGCGTAATGCCAGACAGCGATAAAGAACTAACTTTGATGTGAATACGATGCGTTGACTTTATAAATAATAATTAATATTGTTTTATTCGTGACGTATTATGTATTGTCTATATAGGTATATACAAAATATATACCTATCTACGTAGATTTATTACCTATTCTACTACACGAATAACACTGTTGCTTTTTACTTTAATCCAATTTAAATTTTATAACAAATGTTAATGTTTGCTGTTAATGTTAATGTTCGCTGTCATTGATTTGCAAATTCTAAACAAATAACGTGTTCATTAAAATCAGTGCCGGACTCGAACCTTACCGCCGCCCCTGGGCATAGTAAAAAATGCCGCCCAATTATCGAAATTTTGCATAAAATAGATAAAGTTTCGATAAAGTTATTTTTTTTTAATTTTTATAAATATCTGAAAAATGCAAAAAAAAAACATTTATATGTAAATGATTTCAATTTTTGGAAAAATGTACTAGATTTTTTATTTTTTATTGTGTATTCATTTTTTGGAACATAAAAAAGCATTTTCGATAACGCGAAGACATTTTTTTTCCCACGAGTGCGCCTAGTGTAAATCCAGCGATGATTATAATATACATACATACGTAACTAGTGGCCAATGACCACTAAGACCAAATTTAATACATATTTGCATATTGCAATATTGTATGTTAAATTCCACCAAGACAGGATACCTAATCTAGCATTAACTATAATAAGTCTGTGCTACACGTTTATATACTTACATAATATAAATATTTTTTAAAACAAGTCATAAAAATAATCGCATTTGTTTTTTAGATTGAAAAATAACGATCATTATTAAAATTGCAAAAAAAAACTTTCATTGAAAAATTAAAAATATGTTTATAGTTTCAACTTTTATTAACTTAACTTTAAACCTCTTTATAAAAGTGCTCTCATATAATTCTGTAATAATAAGATAGCATATACATTGCCTACCCTAAACGAAATCTTGATTAATATTTTCATTGAGTTGAGCAAAGGTAAAAGATATTACAAATGTTATAAAGTATTATGGAATGGCGATAAGAAAATGACATCACATACTTTCTCGATCCACTTGGTTCAGCCGGAGACAGGCGCCCTAACCGACCTTGCGCAAGCGCCGTTCTTACACAGTCACAGTCGCACGCGAGCACTCTAGAGCACAGTCAGTCGAGAACGTAGGCGCGTGAGCATTGTACTATAGCGCCATCAACATTACTCACTAGTCAGTATTTTCATCTAGTCTCCTTGTTATTGTGTTGTGACTTGTTTGTGATAAATATGTTTCAAGAATTTAAAAAATGAAATGAAGGGAAAAGCACCCCGAAGAAGATTATTACCATTTGCGGTGGGCAAAATATTCTTACGGTGGATTTTTACAAAAGCAGAATTATTGTTATTTATTTACCGGTTTGTTTTCTTGAATTGTTGATTTTTTATTATATTTATAAACTATGACATTGAGCTATCATCACAAGAGGCTTATAGGCATGTGTAGAATCTTATAAATAATAAGTTAAATAATCGTATCTTTGCCTACTTGATTTTTAATGATACCATACGATTTTATTATATTAAAATAGAAAATATCAGACTCTTTAGATAGAACATTCTTTACTTCTAAGAAATTAATGTTTAGCTTTCTAAATACGAGTTTATTATGTAACGCTATTATAGCAAAAAATAAACTTTATAACTTTTTACATTTGATGAGATGCGCCTGAGCGTATTATGCGGAATAAACTGCATATTATTACGAGTATCTAACAACAACCTTACCCTATCTCAGTACATTAAATATGTACTGAGATAAAAATTGCATAAACTAGTTTTCACTCTCTGACCCACAAGCTTTTTTTAATGCTTAATAGCTGATGATGCGTGAAACGACAAACCAATAAAAAATACTTTCCCATATAATAATATTTATCGGTAAAAGTACATACGAGTAGCAAACTGCCTTAAAACAAAAACGTAACTAATAAATTTAATTGGGATACCGGATAGGATTAATATGATATAAATCAAAAATACTTGTTATATTGACTATCTTATATAGATTTATTTTTAGTCTTAACGTCTCTTCTCCGTCCCTCTTTACATCTGCACCATCTCTAATGCGTTTGTATTTTTCAACCGACTTCCTCATACTGCCGTCTACTGAATTGAATTGTCTACATTTACGAATCATAGAGTTTTAGCTGAATTGGTCCTTCTTTTGATTTCTCTTTCGATTTCCTTACTTATCAGAAACTTACAATTCGAGGTAAACAAAAATCCTAACATCCATATCCATACTGTCCATACTCTAATATTATAAAAATGAAAGTGTGTTTGTTTGTTTGTCTTACGTCTTGTCTTGTTTGTAGTCTTTCACGTCGAAACGGAGCGACGGATTGGCGTGATTTTTTGTGTGGAGATAGTTGGAGGGCCGGATAGTAACATAGGCTACTTTTGACCGCGGGAGATTATCTCATTCCCACGGGAAAACACATTATAATACAACCCAAAATAATATTTATGATCAGAATTACTTGAAACTTGGTATTAATGTTCTTCAATGAAATTAAATAAATAAGTGTTTTAGCATTTTTCGAAATTCATCTTATAGGGGACGAATGTTGTTTAAAAATTACCTTTTTAGAGATTTTTTGTATTTTTAGCGCGAGCGAAGCCGCGGGTTCTGCTAGTTAAACACCTCCAGGTAGAATTCTAAGAAATCTATTGTTAACTGACACGCTGGCGTGTCCGCGGTCGTGGAGGGAATAATAATAAATATGTTGGGAATTTGGGACATTAACACACAGAACCATCTAGTTCCATGATAAGCTACGAGGCTATATAAAAGTATTAGTGCTATCAGTATATTTGCATAAATGATGGTTTTAATAAAAATAGAGAGAAAGTTACTTTATTAAAAAAGATCCTATTTAATTTTGAGTAGATTTTATACCTAGAACCGATAAATTGGACCCAGTTATGCAAAAAACAGCCATGTGCGTAAAAGTACCAACAGAGTTATATAAGCATTTGTCTGTCGATAGTTGCACTTGGGTTATGTTTTGTTTTTCTAGTTATTTTAAAATTGAACAATATCTATATAAGTATTGTTTTATTGTATAATTATTTTATTTTTTATAATAAAATGCTTATAACTAATTATGATAACAACTCGTAAAGAAAAAACAAAGAATGAATAAAAAATAAAAATGTAAAGACCAAAAAAATATTTAAAAAATAGTGCAGCAAGTCAGGCCCTATAAAAAAATATAAAAACCTAATAAAAAAAACCAAACCGATAAGAGCTGTACTTTAGTGGTATTCGTTGATAGTTTTGTTCAAATAATCAAGGGACGCCGGGCGTTCACTTCGCGCTGGGGCACATTGTATATAATGAATAATGATTTTATATAATGAATATAGATACTTATACCACGTTGTTTTTTAGACATTAAGTCGCATATTTTTCCTTGATATCTAAAAAACTACGTTTTTCGAAATATCAACATTACAAATTCTACTATGAATGTGCAAGTGTGTTTGTTTGTCCTTCTTGCTCGTCGAAACAGAGTGATGGATTGGCGTGATTGTTGTGTGGAGATAGTTGAAGAGCTTCCAGCCCTGTGTGACATAGGCTACTTTTTACCGCAGGATATTATCTCATTCCCACGGGAAAACACGTTATAATATAACCCACAACAACTCATCATAGCAATGTATCTAAATATTATAATATACAGTCTATCTATTCCATACTATCCTTTAAAACGTATGTACGTACATGTATAATATTTATTGTTATAGTGTGTTTTGGTATGCGACTCACATCCACTCATCGATGAATAGCAGCGTAGATTTTTTCGAAAGCCTCATTGACGAGGATGGACGCTTTGCTGAACCTAACTGCCAAGAACCGGCACAGCAGGCTCAAAGACGAAGAGTCAATACAGTGCAACGCCCAAGGCCATTGATTCAAGGTAGATACGAGACGAATTTGCATATTTGACAATTGACTATATACTTAACTTGCACAAAAAATATAACCAAATAACAAAACCAAACCAAAAAAATGATATAACATGACTTCATCAGACATATCATATGTAATTAGATACAACCTAAAAGAGCCTCTGCTTTAATGATTTATTTTCTCTTACAGTCCAAACATTTTAAAATACAATCAATGTATATTTTTAATCAGCTTACAATTATAAAATTGTTAACTAAAGTTGATCATATAATTTACACTTTACATTACAATTTTAATCTTTAAACGAGCAATTCTTGTATATATATATGATCTGAATCTCGGAAACGGCTCCAAAGATTTATATGAAATTTGGTATGCAGGGAGTTTCGGGGGCAATAAATCGATCTAAAATAGTATTATGTTTGAGAAAACGCGTGTTTTCGGGTTTTCATGCAGTTTTCTTTTGCATTATTCCACGCAAAATATGGTCGGTAATTTGCACGCTTGAGCATAAGCATCGTGGTCAAGCAGCCAAGGTGCAAGATCAACAATCACAGGTGTCCAGGTTTGAATCTCGGTCGCGTACAAAGTTTTTAGTTTTGTTTTTTTTTTTATATTTATTCAAATTTTTATTTTTTTAAAAAGAAAGAAAATTGTACTTTAGTCCAAAAATTCTAGCCCCTTTCATATTAAACGAGCAAGTTTTTAATTAAACATTTATTTCGTGTATCTGGGTAACGGCTCTAACGATTTGGATCAAATTTTGTATTTATACAAGGTTTTGTTTTTCAAGCTTATCTATTTATGTGTCTGTTCATAAAAAACACTATTTTTATATCTTTTCCAAAAAATCATGAATTTTATATTTAAAATATTTAATTACAAAAAAAAAGCCGAACGAAGCTCGATCGCCCATGTACTACTAATAATAATGATATTATGATAAAATATAAAAACACATATGTTACGTACATATTTGTAATGTTGTAAATATTTACATATTTGTTTTTGTAATATGATAATATGTAATTAACTGGCAACTTTATAACGCAAATGACATTTACCAATTCGCTTCTCCACTCGGTCTCCCCGGCTCCCACCCCACCAATCGCGTCTCGACTCTCGTCAAATACAAGATGGCTGCGCATTATAAGGAAAAGAAGTGATTTTTTCTTTGCAATTTTAAATTGTTTGTGGATTAAAGTTTAAACGTGCAAAATGTCTAATTTATGTTCAAGAATCGTTTCTAAGCCCACAAAAAGGTTAACGGAAAATAGAGACAGCATATCTGTCGCTCAAACAAACACCTGGATGAATGGTGAGCTTTGGAATTTGTAAATATTGATTGACCGCAGTAAATTATCGAGGCTAACTTATTAACAAATTGAAATTTCAAAAAATATTGTAAAGAGAATAAGATTATACGAATAAATTATATACTTAGGATACTAACTTAATTTATATTTTTATTTATATTTTCAATTTTACTATTTTTATTTTAGCTGAGAATATAAACAATGGCGGTGGTTTATCGCTTTCGCCCCCACATACAATTTCCCAACGTGAGACGGGAACACAAGTTTCTCAATGCTACAGTGGCCCACCTTCGCCATGTGGATCGACGAGTTCTACATCATCACCTACAGTATCCCCTGCGCCTCCCCCGGGAACTTTGACCTTAGATCCTAACTGGCAAGCTACGAAACCTACTGTCAGGGAAAGGAATGCAGCTATGTTCAACAATCAATTAATGGCTGATATCACATTTATAGTTGGTGGACCTGGTAAATTTTGATCAGCAAACAAAATTCATTTTTAATGAAATTAAATATTTGTTTAATCGGATTTTATTTTTAGGACACACACAAGTAATACCTGCACATAAATATGTTTTGGCGACTGGCAGTTCAGTCTTTTATGCAATGTTTTATGGAGGCTTAGCTGAGTGTAAGCAAGAAATTGAAGTTCCCGATGTTGAACCATCAGCTTTCCTGACCTTACTTAAGTAAATTGACTTTAACTAGAACAAACAAATCCTTTATATATTAATATAATAAATAACTATAATTATTTTTATTTCTTTACAGGTATTTATATTGTGATGAAATTCAATTGGAAGCAGATACAGTTCTTTCGACATTGTATGTTGCAAAGAAATATATAGTTCCACATCTTGCAAGGGCTTGTGTGAATTATTTGGAAACTAGTCTCACAGCAAAAAATGCTTGTTTGCTGTTAAGTCAATCTCGTTTGTTTGAAGAACCAGAGCTCATGCAGAGATGCTGGGAAGTTATAGATGCACAGGTATGTGAATCAACAGAAAATTTGGCAACCATCTGCCTAGAACATTCTTCATCTTACAGTAGTTTACTCATAGATCTATCAGAATCCTCAAGTCAAAATTTTTCAAGCCCAGATTTAATTAAAGAACTATCAAGTGAGAACTTAAATAATTTTTGTAACTAATTTAATAACACACATATAATAATAATTCTCAATTTTTTGGTTGTGATTTAGGTTTAAGTGAAAATGTTACAAAAAATTCTCTAAACACATTCCAGAGTGTAATTTGTACCTCTAGTCATTTAATAAATTATAAAATTAATGCATTTTATTTGCACTGAATGTCCATTATTATATAGCTAGTTAAATGTCAAATGACTTTCTGTATCAACTATCCTAATAAAAACTTGATATAAAATTATAAGAAATTTAAATATTTTACCCCAAGCTGTATTATAAAACATGATTATAGAATACATATTATGTAGAATAACTGCAATACATTTTGTGTAGTGTTATTATTATGCATGTATTAGAATGAAGCATGTAAATATTTATGTAATTCACAAAAGTTTTGTACATTTTTAATAATTTTAATTATGTAAATAAACTATTTAACAAATTGTATTGCAGTTTCATTTGAAACCTATTCTAAAAATAATTGCACTTCTTGTAGGCTGAGATGGCCCTAACTTCCGAAGGTTTTGTTGACATTGACGTCTCTACTTTAGAATCAGTATTGGCTAGAGAGACACTCAATTGTAAGGAAATAAATTTGTTTGAAGCTGCTTTAGCATGGGCACATGCTGAGTGTATGCGGAGAGAAATAGATGCTACACCAAATAACAAAAGAGCCATGCTAGGCAGTGCCATATATTTGGTTAGATTTCCAACCATGACATTAGAAGAATTTGCAAACAGTGCAGCACAACTTGGCATTTTAACACCTAAGGAAACTATAGATATATTTTTGCATTTCACTGCTTCAAGCAAGCCACAATTATCATATCCAGTAAAAGCAAGAGCTGGACTAAAAGCTCAGGTAATATTTACAATTTACATAGTTTATATTCAGTAAATAATTTTGAAATTTTAATATATGTGTTCTCAATTTTCAGATTTGCCATAGATTTCAATCATGTGCATACAGAAGTAATCAATGGAGATACAGAGGTAGATGTGACTCAATACAATTTTGTGTTGATAAAAGAATATTTGTTGTTGGTTTTGGTCTATATGGATCATCAAACGGAGCAGCAGACTATAATGTTAAAATTGAGTTGAAAAGATTAGGGAGAGTTTTGGCAGAAAATAATACTAAATTCTTCTCAGATGGCTCGAGTAACACATTTCATGTATATTTTGAGAATCCAATTCAAATCGAACCTGAATGTTTTTACACAGCTTCAGCTATATTGGATGGAAGTGAACTAAGTTATTTTGGACAAGAAGGACTAAGTGAAGTTTATATGGGAACTGTAACATTCCAATTTCATTGCTCATCAGAAAGTACAAATGGAACAGGAGTGCAGGGTGGTCAAATCCCTGAGCTTATCTACTATGGCCCCACCATTAATTCTACAATGGTCAACACAAATACAATTGAGGACTGACAATTGAGTATATTATGCCCTGATAATAATTATTATTCTGTATGATTGTAAAATATTTAGGTACTTGAATAATGAGAAACAATTTATGTATTTATAGCAGTTTAAGCCATTCCCATGTTAAATTATTATGTTGAATGTAAAGATCTTATGTATATTGTTGAAATTAATTAAGTTCCATAAAAATGTGATATGGATGTTGTAAAGCTCTCTAGAAATTTGTAGAACTAGGACATTAGAAATAGTTATTAATTACACAAGTTCATTACAATAAATTTAAATAGCTTCAAGGTTTGTTTCATTTTGACTTTTTCATTGTCACTCTAAATGTAATTTAATTTACTATTTATGAAATTCTATAATATTGTACAGTTGAGAGAAATTTACAATGGTAAATTATTTCAAATAAATAATAGAAATATGCCAGTCATTTAATTATATGTAAAATATAAAGAATAAATAACATCTTCAAAGAAAAACCTACAGTTTAAAAAGTAGCTACCTCCATATTATACTATTTTGCTTTTATATGCATCACCACTTTTTGTATTATTAGTTACTTTAAGTGACCTATGCTGTAGATTTAAAAGTACACATTAATATAGTAAAAAAATAGCCAATGTTACTTTTGGATAATGTACCTATCTAAATTTAAAATTGGTTCAGTAGTTGCAAAGTTTTTTGATTACAAACAAACCTTTTCCCTTTAAGTAGTTGTTTCTCATTGTTATTGCAAGAATAACAATGAATTTAAAGTTTTATCCGAATGCCCTCAATGTATGTGATATTGCACATTTTGTTTCAATTCATAATTTTAATTTTACAAGAAAAAGTGTAAACATTTTTTTTTTTAAAAACAATTTATAATCACTTACCATTTGGAGGAATATTGATACATAAAGCTCTTGATAGCTTGAAGTAAGTACGACCAAGTTGATAGCAGCATATTTGTAAAGCATCACTTACATCTATTAACAGATCTATTATAGTTTGCTAAGGATATTATTTATTTTAATGCATTCATAACATTTTACTAAAAATTTGTTATAATAGTTGTTGTTTCAGTAAATTGCTGCCTTTACAAGTAAATTTTTAATTAGTTGCCTTGTAAATATTTCATTAGTAAAAAAATAACAGTTATAAAATATTGGGTATCTGTCAGGAAATTATCTGGTAATTGGTATCCTGCCAGATGGCAAAATAAAGTTAAATATTGGATGTTACAGGATGTCCATTTCATCTCTTAACATTTTTGATAAATAATTACATATTAACAATATATATAAAGGATACGAGGGGTTCCCTCTGTTCTGCAGGTCATGTAAACACAGGCAGCTTGTGTTAAAGAAGATTGTCTACCAATAGTAAGGTGACGCATAAGAGCCATTTTGAAAAAATTGCATGATATATCAATGCACTGCTGGTTGAGACGAAGTTGTTGACATAAAGAAGTAATGCCATCCCTTGCTTTTCTGAGTGTCACTTCTCTAGATTCCTGTCCAATACCTGCATTAAAGGCTGGAAAAGAAATTTGACATGTTTATGTACATACAATTGATATATTTTGTGTTACTATTTTTAATCAAACATTTTGATAGCTCAAATCTTTAAAAGTAACTAATGTATTAAATTATGACAGGCAATATTTAAAAAATATATTTCGATTTTTAGTACTTCTGTTCTTACTTTTCTTTTGTTTCTATCTATAAACATTCACTATCATAATTTAATTACAGAAATTGTGCATTTTAATTATACCTATTAAAATATTATAGTAACACTTGTTTCTAATATTACTGGTTAATCTATTACCAATAAATATGGTAGTAATATATATGTTTGATTTAATAAAATATTTAATGGTTAGAAGGTAGAAATACGTAGAGTACATTAACTTTAAAATAAATAATTAAAATACCTCGGCCAAAACCTGATGCGCCTCCTTTGGATTCGGCAGATACAAACTGTCCAATAGCTGAAGCACCACCATGAGCATTTTCTTGAAATTCAACTTCAGCGACAATTATATTATCTTCTAACACAGAGCCACAATTGGTACAAACAGCATCGCCCCTGGCGGGGTCTACTTCTATTTCAGAAGACCCACAATGTTTGCATTTTTTCCCTGACATAGTTAATACTGAATATCAATGAAGTTCATAAAGTATAGGGGATTATTAATATATCAACATATGCTATGTTGAAACTCAAGTTCAATTTTAATCTAAAGATGGAAAATCATTTCCAAAAGTAAAAACATGTGTTATTGCTATTTTTTTATCAATATTGTAAGACTTGAAGTTGGAAGTTGGAACCATGGATGACAATTGACAAGTTTGAACTTCAAAGTGAGCATAACATGTCAAATTTGAAGTGACATCTGACAATGACAGTCAAATGTCAATTGAAACTAGAATATTTAATACGATATGAACCATGGATATGAATATCATAATGTATATATACCCTGTTTCCCAACTACAGTGCACAATACCGCACTTTGGCGCACAAACATGAACAACGCGAAAAACACATATTTTCTGCTACTGAGTTGGCATTCGTTGCGTACATCAACCCAAAGCAGTACTTTTCAAACTTCAAAGTGCTCGATTTTGCGGAACATTGCTGTAGTTGAAACATTTGAAGTTAGCATTATGCCGCATAATGCGCTTTAGTGCAGTAATTGGAAAACACCTATAGTATATACAATTCTATATGATACAGAGCATTCTTCAGGTACTTCTTCCTTTTACTTACTTCCGTAACTTTCACTATAGAAAGTTTATGACAAAAAAACATCATTAATTTTAAATAGCTGCGTTTTCAAAAACAAATATTATTTCAACAGATACCTATCATCCAGATATTTTCTTACTTACTCAAATAATATGAGACATACTAGTTGAGACTAAAAGTAATCTTTATAGGGAGATTTCTCGAAAAGAGGGCGCCACGTAGCATATTTTCATTCAGTCTGAGGTTAAGCAATTTATTGTGATATCTACAGCTGAAGGAAGAATTGAGAAGGAAAGGTGCATCCTGCGGTGGTCCTGAGTCCTGACTCCTGACTGACAATGGATCAACATAAAGCCTATTGCCTAAACCGCTGCTCGTAGAAACCCGAAATTTGGATGACGTATACCGACCTTACATGATGAGGGCGTCCGATAAGAAAGGATTGTTCAAAATTCATCCCCTAAGTGGCTAAAACAGAGGATTAAAGATTGTATGATAATGTGACATTCTTAATGTAAAATACACAGAAAATGGTTTTTAGCTTTAAGGTAAAAATTAGAAATATATTTTTAGTTTTTTTTTTCGAAATTTTACCCTTAAAGGAGTAAAAGAGGGTAATAAAGTTTATACGGGCAAAGAATTATTTATGATAAGAATTATTTGAAAAGAGCATTAATACCAGCTCTTCAGTACAATTGTTATTTAACATTTTTCGAAAATTATTCCCTTAAAAGGTAAAATGGGGGATAAAAGTTTGTATGAAACTTTGTAATTAATATGTAAAAAGGTATAAAAAATCACCTGTAGATGATTTAAAAGTATTCATTCATTTTTTTAAAATATTCATTCATTTATTTATATTATTCATTTTTATAAAATTCACTTTATTTAAAATTATGTCCACATAGCCAGCCTTAAATATAAAGTTTGTAATTTCGCCCATTTTTTTCGTTTTGGAAACAAAATTCAGAATGAAGAAATTCAAAACAAAATTTCTTTAGTTTTCGTCTTTTCGAAGCAATTGATATCTATTTTATTTGCATTCTGGCGCTGCATAATTTGTCTTTTTAATTAAATTTTAAATAAAATGAAAAAAGATCCATCCTCGCTATAGAGCTTTACTATATATTGTGGGCCATAGTAAACGCGACATCTGGCGGGAGAAAAACGCAAAATTGTTCCTTATGTTATTTTTATAATAGACTATTTGTCTCATTCTAAATATTATTTATGTAGTAAGACTTTTATTTCATTTTTACATTGTAATATATATTTTAGTTAATAATTTACATATTATAATTTCAGGCATTGTTTGTATTAGTAAATTGTATTTAAAAAAATATTTAAGTATGCTTAATAAGTTCCATCAGATCAAAATTTATAAATGTTTTAAAATTAACTTTCTCGAAATTTTCTCGGTGTAACTTATGCTTTACAAAAAATATGACGTCATCGTAACAAACTCTTACCATTGGTTGAATATCACGCCATGACACCAATTATAGGCGATGAGATCACCCTATAAATTGTTAAGGCTAAAGTTGGATGGCATAACGAAAAAGTATATTTGTCGAAGATAAAAGTAGGCGGTTAAGACTTTTCGCAATTACAAGCTTAGAAATTCTCAGGAGAAGGGCATCCCCAAAGAGACGACGACGTCACCTTGCAAACTGCAATGATGAGTCATCATTGTTGTGTTCTTGTTCGCGTATAATTTCGCGATTACTTTATTATTTTCAAAAATATCTGACATGAGACATCAATGAACTGTCAAATAGAACGTTGAATGTGATAGCTAGCTACGTTGTGATAAATATCTAGTGCGTTCTAGGAACACTTACGTAAACTGTGTTTATGTTTTTTGTTATAAATTTTGTTCAGAACTCATGACGATGAAGCTTGAAGTGAACGATAGTCATTCCAATCACTCTGATTTCTCTTGTGATAGCCAGTCTTCACAGGGTTCCTCTACAAATGACTTTATTTCCTCAGTACCTGCGACCAGAAACCTTCTCGCAGTGAGTATTTTAAATATTAGAAATACCAATCGATTGTTTCATAATGCCTTATCTCATTGTTGTTGTAAACAGTATACTTTTACTTTAAGAGGTAACATATGTCCATATTTATTTTATTACTCTGTTACCTTTTTATTTATGAATAATCTAACTTTATTGTCACAGTTGCAAGTAAAAGTAATTATTAAGTATATATTATATTATAAAAAAGGCAACATGGTTAACTTATTCATATCAGGAAGTAAAAACAAGACATTATTTTATTAATCTTTAGAAATTATGATATAAGCCTTTTGTATTGATATCTCTTATCAAATATCACCAGATATGGCCACTATCACACTTAGATCACTCGCTGAAAATAGTAATTCTGTCATTGCTAAGCATAGTATTAACTGAAAAACTATTTTCTTGTTTCTTATCCTCTTATCTTTGGAAAACATTGTTTTTATTTATGAGTACCTTTATTTAATTTTGATATTTAAACATGCAATTTACTTGTCCTCAATTTATTTATTTGTCTTTTATTAGACTAACATATATTTCATCATATTGTTTGATTGATTTTTAATAAATTAAGTCACATGCTTAAACTGAAATAAATTATTATTTTTACATAAATAGGTAAATTAAATAAATAATAATTTATTATATATTTTAAATGTTTGTAAAAGCCTAATTGAATAAAGTTACATTTCAATTAAGCTATATTACTTTGGAAAATAAATATGTCGGAGACGGTCATCAATACGGTCGCTAAACGAAGCGCGGCACGACGCCTGAGTGATGGCAGCACCTTCGGTATTATCGCCAACACTCGGCGAGCTTCGTGCTACGACGGAGCCTAGCTAAGGGAGGGGTGCTAAGAGGGCTGGACACTTGCCTTCGAGCCGAGCCAAGCTTAGGACCGCTCCACTAGAAACTGTCTTGCGTTCCGTATTGTCTATACATGGTAATAGTGAAGTGGTATATGGCTGTGTAGTGAAGTGCTGTTTAACTATGTACAAAGTGATTATTGTTAATTTGAAATACAACTGTGATTGCATCGACTTTCATTTGAACCAACACTTCCCATATAACGCCCACTGTATAATTCATGATAAAATAATGGAAAATAATAGAGAAAATTAATGCTGCTTCGATATCAGAAGCGGGATCAGTGTTGGTTCAATTGCAAAAAGAACTAACTCTGAGTGAACAATGACGTGCTATGTTTGAACAACAAAATGTCAATAAGTGATCTCTTATCGAGGCCTTGAAAATGCCTCAGACGAAGATGAACGTCGAGTTACGCGAGTTTGACCCTGACAATATGGATACGGACGCAAGATCTTTGTTTTCGACTGCAGATTTGTGTTTTTCCGAATACCCTCCATACGGCGGCCAGCTTGTTTTAAGTCAGTAAGGAATTAAAAGGATAGGGGTCGACGTGGCTGTCACAATTTTTATACCAGAGAATAACATAGGAAGAGTTCAAGGTGATTTTCAAGGCGAGATTTATTTCCACCGAGACATTGGCTGGTACGCTAATTAATTTTAACAGTGACAAACCAAATGAAAAAAGAAATTCGTTACGTACGCAAATCGCCTGATGACGTCACTGAGTAATCGTTGGAAAGACGCTAGCAAGAATGAGGTAGCAATTGCGACTGTCCTTGCTCACTTATGTCAGTTTAATTCGAAATTACATCGATTGGCCTTTACTACGAAAATTGCTTCGCGAGATCGACTGCAGCAGGGATTGCACGCATTCTCACATTTGAAACGCAAAGTTAGTTTATCTGATGATTTTTCAAAAGTGCCTGATGCTAAACGAGCCAAGCTAATGTTAAAATGTTATAAGTGCAGAAAAGTGAGTTATAAGCGGTCATAGTGTAGAAGCAAGGTAAATGACAGTGTGGAACGACCTTCGATGACAGCAACGGCATTGCAGCCTGCAGTGAAGTCTCTGGTGTGCTTCAAATGTGGCAAGCCTGGTCACATCACGCTCCGGTGCATAAGTAGTGCCAGTCAAGTGGACGGCAGCAATATGGGTGCAACACGAATGGAACGACGCGTGGATGTATGTGTTGTACAACCATCTTCGAATGTTCAATGGCATAGAGGTAATCTGTATTGCTTTTGTTATAATCATGGTGCTGAATATTCGTTAGTAAGATAACATTTAGCAGTCAAATTGTGTGGTTAACGATTTTGACCTTGCAATTTCTAGTATTGATCAAAACAGAATATTCCGCACAGAGTAAAATTTGTTTTGTAACGATTAACGGTCATTCTCTTGAAATCTTTTGAAATATTATGTTTTGCCTAATTATTAGTTACAAAATGGTATCATGATAGAACATGAGATATTGAAAGGTTTTCTATTAACATGACGG